CCCAACCTACGTTATATAAAGTTTAACTGAAATTCTCCAACCTACGTTATATAAAGTTTAACTGAAATTCCCCAACCTACGTTATATAAAGTTTAACTGAAAGCGCTCTAGAGCTCACCTACTTTATTGTTAAAACTAAGTTCACCGTGTTTAACGTTGATAAAGAATAAGTATAATAAATATTTAGATTAGAAAATATATCATCCTCTACTTTGTGATGTGTAACAAAAAGCCAAGAGTAGATGAAATCTCCGGAAATATAGTGAACATATTTAACATTCAAAACAATGCTCTCTGAACAATACTTTGAAGATAGTCCGGAAATATAGTGAACATATTTAACATTCAAAACAATGCTCTCTGAACAATACTTTGAAGATAGTCCGGAAATATAGTGAACATATTAAACATTCAAAACAATGCTCTCTGAACAATACTTTGAAGATAGTCCGGAAATATAATGAACATATTAAACATTCAAAACAATGCTCTCTGAACAATACTTTGAAGATAGTCTAGAAACTCTATTTAGTGATGTATTTCATGGGACACTCACTGAAGACTACAACTTTTTTAAAACAAGTATTTGTTAATGTCTATCTATCTTTACAATTAAAAACTTAATTCGAACTATATTTTTTATAAACTTTTATTTTTAAAAAAATGCTTTATACAAAAGTTTGATACACCAAACAGATTATCAAGATTATCGTAAACAATAATTTCTTATTTGTGTCTATTATTTTCACCACTACTGCTCATATATATTATATTTAACGCATTTGTTTGTCGTTAAACTTTACGTAGTGTATTTTCTATGCTTCTGACATGAATTTAGGTTTTAAATTAATTATACAGAAATAAAATATATATAATAAAGGTAGAATTTATCTTTAAGCTTATACTTTTTTTTTCTCTCTGTGTGGCGAGGTTTCTGCATCGGATAATACTTAATAAAAAAGTGTTTAGAAAAATTATTACAAAATCTAGGATAAACCTGACGCTACATTTTCTTTTATGACAATCTTTTCCTCTTTATAAAAAGAGAAGAAAACTGTACGATTTTTATTGTTATGAAATAATGTTCAGAAGTATATTTTAACTTATATCCATCTCCTCCGTCATTATTGGTATTCTGGTGTTGGCTGTATTTCCTACATTATTGGTATTCTGGTGTTGGCTGTATTTCCTACATTATTGGTATTCTGGTGTTGGCTGTATTATTATTTTGGTATTCTGGTGTTGGCTGTATTTCCTACATTATTGGTATGCTGATGTTGGCAGTATTATTATGTTTTGGTATTCTGTTGTTCATGTGATGTTGCAGCTGTATTACCGTTCTAATACCCTCTTTAGTTGTTGATGTGATGTTGCAGCTGTATTACCGTTCTAATATCCTCATTAGTTGTTCATGTGATGTTGCAGCTGTATTACCGTTGGAATCTTCTCTATACATTTTGGAATGCTGTTGTTAGCTGTATTATCGTTATAATATCCTCTTTAGTTGTTCATGTGATGTTGCAGCTGTATTACCGTTCTAATACCCTCATTAGTTTTCATGTTTTATAGGATGTAATCTCTTTACCCTCGTTATTGAGTTGGGTGTTTTTACTTGAGATTCACAGCATTATTCATCCAGAACGAAGTATTCCATATAATATCCTATATTATATGGAAACATACGTATGTTTCGGTGTAAATACATTTCCCATATTTATAAAAAAAACAAAATACCATTCTTAGCTCAGTAAAAATATATTACCCACATTCGTGAAATACAGCTGAGGTAACTTAACAGGACTTCCGTGTAATAGAAATTGTCATAACTAGTTCAGTTGAAATAGCTATACAGGATTACCATAACTCATTCAGTTAAAATACCTTTACAAGACTACCATATAACAGATATTACCGAAACTAATTCAGTTGAAATATCTTTACGGGACTTCCATATAAAAGTAATTACCGTTACTCATTCAGTTAAAGAAGACTTCCATATAACAATCATCACCATAACCAGGTCAGTTAACCCACCCCTCCACCCTCTAGGATTTGATAAAATAAATAGATAAAACTAACCTAAGCTACTTCAATTGAAATGAATTTTCATGGTCTCTAAAATTTAAATATCACCACAATTAGTTGATATGAAATACATTTTCTTGATTTTCAAAAATCCAAATTACTCCTTAATGTGAAAAATACTTTCCAGATTTATCAAAGAAATAGAATTGTCAAAACTATTCTATAAGTATTACTTTTACAGATTTTTTAAAATAGAAATTTTATAACTAGCCTTTGGAATTCATTATCGGCTCTTCTGATAAAAAAAAACAACAGCAACAGAAAGTACAGTAGCCATTTCTGGCACAGCGGCGTGTTTTCGGACTTACAATGATAGAAACTAGGTATCGATACTCGTGGTGTGCAGAGCACAGACAGCCCTTGTGTAGCTTTGTGCTTAATTACAAACAAACAGTAACTATTTCATATGAAATACTTTACCTGGAGTTTTTACTTAAAAATTACCTTAAATACTAAACTAACGTTTTCTCATATGTTTAAAAAAAACCAAACAAATCAACATAACTAGTTCAGTCTTTTTATTATTTTAGTTGTACTGTCATTGTATAAAGTAGAAATTACTGTATGTGACGCTATATTTTAGTTGTACTGTCATTGTATAAAGTAGAA